AAAATCGAATGCCAACCCACCGAACGAATATTCGAATAATCGAATATTCTGGTCCAGCCCTAATTAATACATTCTCTGTTTTAATTGTACAATCAAGACATAAACAACTCATTTTAACATGATTTTAGTGTGACAAATTTGCTTTCTAACCTTTTCTGTGTAAAGTTATACACAATTATACAACTCTTGCCATGACAACACAATATCTTAAACCCTAAAAACTCTAAAAATTATGATTTAAACCACTCTACAGCTCAAATAATACAATACAGTTAATGCAAGTCCTTTTTTTTTTAATTTAGAAGCTCGACATTTTTGCTTTGAAATCCTCCAAAAATTGGCTCCATTCATTTCCAAGTTCCTCACATTACCATTGATTTCGGTCTTTTTGTGTGTGCGTGTTTCATGGAATGACCCGAGGGTGAGTAAATATTGATGAATAATTTAGAATTTTAATTTTTAGGTGAACTCTCTCTTTAATGGACTATTATATCAGAGCAAATCGCTTGAAATGGAGAGCTCCGCAGACAAAGGTGACTTCAAACCAATCCGAAGTTAATTTGTATGTTTAGCTGGGAAACAGGGCCGAGGTTCGGTTTCTTGCTGTTCTCAGCAGCATGTGAGGCATTCTTCACTAGCTCTAATTGTTTCCATTACACTTCAATTTGTTGGACTCGGACAGAAGGGCACTGGCTAAATTAGGGTGCTTTTGTTATGCTTTCCATTGGAAGCGACAGTGTTTTGGAGTGGTAATCAGATACAATCAGGCAAACTTGTGCTGCAAGCCTCATCTGCTTCTCTTATTAGGACATCTTAATTTCTCAGAGGCTCTCGGATGTAGTCGGGTTGCCATTGTGGCCTCAGAGGTCGGATTAATCAGACAGGTTGGGTGACGTTAAAAGCAGGGCTGGGATGCGTGTGGCTATGAGTGAGTTTCTGCAGGCAGTGGAATACCAACTATCAGCTCTTACTCCTTTAAGGTGATCTCACAAACATAACTGTCAGAAACATAACTATTATTATTATGATTATTTATTCATTCATTTATTTTTATTGAGATACAGTATGAACCATGTTATTTAGTGCGTCTAGAATATTTGCTGTTGTTTTTGAAAGACCTCTGAGCAGGGGAGCATCTTAAGCTTCCTTATTAAATATATATTGGCTCACATACATAGATATGAGCCGCACGCTCTTCTGCGCACATCTCTATGTGCTCTTTTTCTTTCTTCACACAAACTCCAAGTCATTCGAGAGGCCTCAATGTGCAGTCTCATCGGTACCCCTACGCAAGACGAAATCGATAGCGGTGTCAGATTAAAAGCCCCAAATAAATACTGCATGCTGGGCAACATTGTATGAAAAAGCAAATGTTAAAAAAAGCAGCAAGCAGCAGCCTTTATGCCACTCTAAACACTGATCCTGAGTCAGTGAAGTGGACACCTTTGTGTGCGGAGAGTGCAGCACTGAATCAGCCTGCTGGAGTGGAGCCGCAGAGGGTCATCCGGTGCAAAGAGAAGCATGCGGCCCAATGCTGCTGGTCTGGTAAAAAGCCCTGTGCTCTGGGTTGCCTTGTTTAGCAATGCAAGGCGATTCTCCATGGAGGCTGTGCGCTCAGCACCAACAGTCACCCCTGCAGTGTACAGGGCAGACACACACTTCTTTTTTTGCTTTTACTGTATAAGACTGTCAAGGTAGACAGGAAAGTTACAACATACAAGAGAAAAAAGATCCCTGTAAGAACCGCAAGTTGGAACGAAAAAACAAACAAAAAAAACAGTATCCTTAACTTAATGGTCTTACATTGATCAATGGACAACTATGCGCATAATTAAATATGCGCATTCATTAAATTAAACCTTTTTTTCCCCACAAGAGTAATTCATAACTCAGTATGATCTTAGATGTATCTAATAAAAAACTACACATTTTCTGAATCATGCATAACACTTTTTTGATTTCATATGCAGTAACTATGTAACAGTTGTTAAAAATCTGGGGGTCAGGAAGATTACATTTTTTTTTTAATAAATTAATACTTTTATTCAGCAAGCACACGTTAAATTGATCAAAAGTGACAGTCAAGACATTTAGAATGTAACAAAAAGGTTATATTTGAAGAGTTTGGTTCTAAAACGCGATAAACGCCATTTAAAAAAAAAAATGAGTTTCTGCCAAAATCAGTATTATATCTGGTCAGTATTGAAAAGTCCATATTTAATTTTACGCAAAATGCGATATCCGCCGAGTTATTCTGTCATGTTTTCTCCCTTTCTTTCCAAACCACGACAAACGCCAGTCTCCCTTCTCTGCAGAATGCGATATAACCGCTCAACCAATCACAACGCACTATTCCACGCACTGTAGACAGTAATGGCGGCGCTTTGAATACACCCGGCATCCTAGTTTTCCTCATCTATTTTGTACTTTGTGATCAACAAACAAACTTATGGCTGCATGATAAATCGCATGTGATTGTCATGCGCATCTCGTCAGTAAAGCTGGTTCTGTGATTAATAGTAAATCTCCATCACGTGCATTCAGATGGAGCGGCATTTACTACACAGAGCTGTAGATCACTGCTATATCGCGTTCATAATCGCAGATGAGTCGCATTCGATTATGAACGCGATATTGCGTAGCTTGTCAGTGTAAGTGTTTTTATTTATGCCATTAATGTTTTTGTTAATACAGCATATAGCACTAGTCAGATAAATTAATGTAACATGGCAAAGACGAATGCACTTTTGGAAGTTGAATGTAAGGGAAATGTCATTTCTGTGGTTTAATGTGATGTTGTTCATGTATGTTCATGAAATTTTTCTTTTATTGTTGTAATTAATTTATAGCATTAACAAGATGACCCGTTGAATTCATTTTGGGAGCGATGACTGATTGAATGTATTTTTAGTCCAGTGCCTGCATATAAGATTAGTATTGACCAAGTTCAGAGGCTGTCATATGTGGATCAACTTACTATGGTGTGTATTTTCAACAGTTTCAATATGAAAAATAACTTTTATATTGATTCAATGGATTCATTGCATTTTGAAGAAAAAAAAAGTGTCATGGATTTATTGCACTTTGGGGAAAAAAATAATAACATTTTATAATAAATCTTTGAAAACCAAAATCTGGATTTGAATTGGTAATGTTATTATAACCTAAAGATGCTATGTGAAAGTTTGAAACAGAAAATAGTGGTTTTCATCTTGCCACTTTCTTGGTAAAGAAAACACATTTTTACTCATATTAATCAAAATGGATTTATAGCGTTTTGGAACCAAACTCTTCATTTAAACAAATGCTATAACAAATGCTGTTTTTAACGTTCTATTCCTCAAATAATCCTGGAGAAAAAATAAATAAATACATAAATATATATATATATATATTATATATATATAATAGTTTCTACAATATATATGTATTATACAGCACTTTTTTTAACATAATAAGAAATGTTTCTTGAGCAGCAAATCAGAATTTTTTTATAATTTCGGAAGGATCATGTGACACTGAAGACTAGAGTAATGATGCTGAAAATTCAGCTTTACCATCACAGGAATAAATTAAATTTTAAAATGTATTAAAATAGAAAACAGTTCTTTTAAATTGCAATAATATTTCACAGTATTACTGTTTTCACTGTATTTTTTGATCAAATGAAGGCAGCTGTGTAAGCATTGGAGTCTATCAAAACCATTTTTAAAAATCGTACCGACTTTTGAATGACAGAGTAACCACTCAAAATATGAAATAATCTAATTGTCACTACTATTTAAAGTAAAGCTATTTAAAATAAGCTTTAAGTCATAAGTCCTTGTGGAAATTTCACTTGTAAATTAAATGACGTTTTATGCTTAATGTGTTTTACTGATAAACAAGACTGAGAAATTATGATTTTTTTTTTGTAATGTAAATAAATATTTGAATAATTTAAAGGTCCAATCAATTAATATCCTGTAGTTAGCATTTCAAACAATTATGAATTATGAATGAAAGCGAACTGGTTTCAAAGTAAAACACAAACAATATGAAAACAAAAATATTTATATACCAAAAATATGTTAAACAGAATATATGCAAGTGTTTAAAATCATGGTGAGCACTTGAGGTTTCCAGAGAAAAATGGAATGAACCAAATGTGTTTCTAATTACTTCAGATGATACAGAATTTTAAAATTAATTTCCAAAAATTAACAGAAAAACGTTCAATTATTACATCTGGCTAAATCCACCGAGGGGTCAAAAGTGGTTAACTGACATAAGAAATGGCTAAAATAAAGATTTAAAACTGATAGCTTGCAACTGCGGCTCTCTGATCAGTCAGAAAGATGTGCTTTGCCAAGAAAAGAAAAGAATCCTGAAATCCTGAAATATATATATATATCCATAATGAGAAGACCTTCATTAACATGCATACCCACAGAAACAGCGCAGAACAAAGGATTGCTTCAGATGAACACAGAAGAACACTAATTAAGAAAAATGATTGAAGAATCGCCCATAATTATACTTTTAATTATGCGCACACACAAAAAAAAGACAGAAAAAACATTACAGAAAGTATAGAATGTGTCCTAGACACTATTAATATATATCTGCCTAGAAAAAAATTAAATACGCCCTATTTATCTGATCCGCTGGTTGTCAGTCTAGATTTGGAATAGGTTCTGGATACTGTATCTTCAAATCTCATTCCCCCGAGAAAAAGATAGAAACACGTTTCGCTTCGGAATTACAAGCAGGACAAGTGCATGATGAATGAGACACTTGAAATGGCTTGAGCATGATGTGGCTCAAACAAACTGGCACTATCCAGAGGGAATGTATTGAAATGTGAGTAAAGTGCAGTAAGTTGTCAGTTACACTTACAGTAGGACTGTACAGTAGTTTGGTCTGTGATAAAAAGGCTGCGTGTTGAATATAATTGAGCTAACAGGACATTCACTTTCATTCACATACATTCATCACTTGATGTTAGAAAAAACACTCACTTGAATCCATTTGTCTGGAATGGCCATGGCCAGGCGATAGTCGAAACCCAGACCTCCTTCTTGGACAGGACAGCAAAGGGTGGGCATACCGGACACATCCTTAAAAAAGAATGAATTTCTTAAAAACACAACACTATGGAGAGGTTAGATTTACTGTTAAAGGAATAGTTCACCAAAAAATGAACATTTGCTGAAAACTGACTCACTCTCAGGTTATCCAAGATGAAAGCATTTATTAATCTTAGTATTAATTTCATCATTAACTAAAATTATTAAAATAAAAAGTTATATTTTTTTAATTAACATCAATAAAGATTAATAAATACTGTCAGAAATGTATTGTCATGGTTAGTTAATGTAAATTTGAATTTAAATTTAAATGTTTAATTTACTTACCCTCAGTCCATCCACAATGTAGATGAGTTTGTTTCTTCATTAGAACAGATTTGGAAAAAAAATAGCATTACTGTACATCATTTGCTTATCAGCTGTTTGGACTCTCATTCTGACGGCACCCATTCACTGCAGTGAATGTAATGCTGTATTGCCCCAAATCTGTTCTGACTCTTGGATGCTTGAAGGTGAGTTCATTTTCAACACATTTTCATTTTTGGGTAAAGTACTCCTCAAATAGCGGACAGTTCCAATCGGACCATGAACCATAATGCCAACAGTAGCACCATTTTACAATTCCTACAGTTTGACGTGAGCAGTGCATCAAAACAATGGAGCTGTACACACAAGCGCTCAGGGTCTTTTATAGTACTGATCTCTCTCCGTCATATCCTCTAATACTTTTATCTAGAGCCAAACACGCTTCATTTAAGCTCTTTCCGCCCTGTGTGCGTTGCTTCTCTCCCCCACTAAAGACGCAAAGCGCTACAAGAGCTGCAGATGACGTGGTTATTTTAACAGTAACAGAAACATGGTGAGCAGCAAAATAGATTGATATTTTCACTAAACACTGCAGAAAATGAGAACGCTGAAAATACAAATTACTTTTACATAAAAGTTATATTGTATCTATATTTTGTTCTATCTATCTATCTATCTATCTATCCGTCCTTCCGTCCGTCTATATTGCTTATGATGCACCATATTTTGATTGTTGTTATCTGAATATTTTCATTGTTATGATTATGTATTACGCTGTTTGCTTGTTTTTAGTAGACACTTATTATAAGCAAAATATAAAAATGACTTCAGACTTTAAGAAGAAAACCCTGAACCTACATACAGTGCTTTTCTCATTCACCTGGCCTTCTGCCATACGTAGGTATATAAATGTAAAAATAATAATAACCTGGTAAAAACATCTGATCTACTTTTTAACATTCACATCCAGTTGGGCTCAACTGATAAAATGTATTAATTTGTTTGTACAAAAATTCTCAGACTCCACTGCTTTGGCATTCAAGGCTCAATATCCTCATCTTTGATAACTACTTTGAATATTTTTTTTTATTTTTGCAAAGTACTCACTTGGAAGGAAATATCAAGACTGGACTTTTTGGAACTTGAATTGAATATCCCTGCTTTGAAGAATATCCGAGTCTGTCAAGCTCAAAATGGCAAAAAGTAACATTTTCTCCTGAAGCTTTCTCCTTTTAATATAATGAAATGTAAAATATGATATTCCTGTCATTTCAATCATTTATTTATATATATATTTATTTATAGGAGTTGAACATAAAAAAAGATAAACATAAAAAAAAAAAAACATTTAATACATTAAAAAGATGTGTAATGTAATGAAAATGTAAATGTAATGATGACTCCAGTCATATCTGGCCTAATAAAAGTTAATTTGTTTATATTCGCAGAGTGGGTCGCCTCATGAGGGCTGACATGTTGGGATCACATGACCAGCCAAATGTGTTATTGCTGACAAAATAAAAAATACTCATCCATTTTTGCCAATAATTTTGTTGACTAGATTAGCAGTGGTCTCCAGCCATTCTAGTCTTTTCTGCAGGGTATCACATAATATGCAGCGCTGTGCAAAATTGAATTAACCGCTGAATACAAAAAGTAGCTGTGGTCCTAGTTTTTGTTATATTTGTAGTCTGTTTTTATGCTATTTAATTGTTTCCTGCAATGTAAGCAAACTTTAGCATTCACAGTCAAGCTCTATCAATGGAGCTCATAAAAGCGAATTATATGATATCTGGGTGGGCGCTGTCCACTAATTACAAAACACTGAACAAAGTAAGTAAAAAGTAAGTGGTCTCATTAATCATGGCTTTAGACAGAGCCACTGAGTGCTAATTTAATGCACTGTGTCCCGTTGACTCGGAAGATTAATTCTGTCTTTGTGGAGTTGGGATACAGTGTCGCTGTTGACAAGATTAAGGTTATCGAGCCATGACTAAAGGTATTATGGTCATTTCGGATGATCCTGCTGCATATTCTGAAGAGAGTAGCCAGTACAGAAAGAGAGACACCTTTTTACTTAAAGGAACAGTTCACCCAAAAATGTACACTCTACAATTTAAACTGTTATTCACTGATAATCTTCAGATCTCATTTGTGCTTTTGCATATTTAAATTGGCACGTCGCGCTAGTGTTGCTGACACTTAATATTCCAAAATTGAATATGCACATACATTATTTCTGGTAGTTAACGGACACTTTTTAATATCCAATCAATTTCCTATAGTCCCGCACATTTTTTTTTTCTAGTTGAATATTAAAAACATCAATTATGTCAGATTATGGAAGCAAAACGGGTCGCAAACCAAAATTCACAATGATTTTAAATTGTAATTAATTTATACTTCATGAATGCATAAGCTGTTGCCTCTAATTTAAGCTTTTAATATTAAAATATTGTATACAAATACAAATAAATAATTTATACGTGGACTACTCTTCAAAAAGTTGGAATCTTTTTTTTTTTTGGAAGAAGAAATTAATAATTTTATTTAGCAAGGATGCAACTAATCAAAAGTGAAAGTAAAGAATTTATAATGTTTCAAAACTTCATATATTTCAAATAAATGCTGCTTTTTTTTGACTTTCTATTCAAATTCAGATTCTATACAGATTCTATTCAGATGTAAATGTATCAAAGTTTCCACAAAAATATTAAGCAGTTTTCAACTGATGATAATAATAAGAATAGTTTCTTGAGCAACAAATCAGCATATCAGAATGATTTCTGAAGGATCATGTGACACTAAAGACTGGAGTGATGATGCTGAAAATTCAGCTTTGCATTACAGGAATATAATTAATACAATATAATACAATATAATATGTTTCTCACACAAAGCTATTGAATGCTTCAGAAAATTTGAAACAGTGCAAAAGTCTTACGGGGAGTATGTGGGAGACCTGTTTGAAAACAGTCATACTGTTGCAGTATAAGCCATGGCTGTTGGAAACTACGACAATAATGTTGTATTACCGTCATCTCAAAGCAGCAGAAAAAGAACAGGAACAATTCAGTTCAAGAACTGCTGAGCTCACATTTCATAAATACTCTTCTTGCTGTGGGAAGCTTCTATGTTCCATGCATTTCAGAAAACAACACGCGGCTTACCTCTGCAATAGTGATGCAGTCTTCATAGAGGGTGTGCAAAATATGGTTTGCCAACATGAGGTAGACAAGAGAATCCTCGTCTACCTGGAGTCCAAAGTATTCAGCATAATCCCCAGAAAATCCTGATCCTGAGAATCAGGGAATATGAAGATGAAATCAGATTCCACAACTGATGGTTACATTTTAATAATAATTAATTAGCAATTACACAAAACTCATTTTAAAAAATTAAACCAACTCGCAACAACCCTTGTGTGTGTGTGTGTGTGTGTGAATCTAATGTCATGTTTCATTAAAACAAAGTAGCATTTTAGTCAAAGCGATCTTTGAAAACCTACCGAAAATCATTAGCAGCATCACTGGTACAAAATTAAAATGGAAAAGAGAAAAATGCCAGGATAACCTTTGCCACACTACTTGTGTAATTAAATATGAAGATGAAATCAGATTCCACAACTGATGGTTACATTTTAATAATAATTAATTAGCAATTACACAAAACTCATTTTAAAAAATTAAACCAACTCGCAACAACCCTTGTGTGTGTGTGTGTGTGTGTGAATCTAATGTCATGTTTCATTAAAACAAAGTAGCATTTTAGTCAAAGCGATCTTTGAAAACCTACCGAATATCATTAGCAGCATCACTGGTACAAAATTAAAATGGAAAAGAGAAACATGCCAGGATAACCTTTGCCACACTACTTGTGTAATTAATTTATTGCTTGAAAGAACTTGTATCCCATGTTTTTCCTGCTTAATTCCGTTCATTTATGAGAGTATACGTTACATGCTTGAAGTCTACTGAAACTTCCCTTGAAATGGCTGCTCTTCCAATACACTTTTCTACCTGTTCTACAATAAGAGCCTGTGTCATTTACAGGGGAAGAAGGTTGTTAATGTCCAGCAATTCTAAGTAAAAACATTACATGCTTGATTTTCCATGGACATACCGATCCCGTGATGATGGTAGAGCATAGATGACACTCCGTCAAACCTGAATCCATCAAATCTGTACTCCTCCATCCACCAGCGCAGGTTTGACAGGAGAAATCGCAGCACCTCCCAGCTACACACACACACACAAACACAAACAGTTATTATTCTATTCTGACAGGATTATATCTATATCCTCATTGCATTGCTCATCTCATCATTACACAGGAAAACACCATTTCATAATCTAGAAAGCCGATAAATCTGCTTAAAGTATATAATTCATAGTAGATCATTAGTAATTCACATGTTTGAATCATATATTTTAATATGAACTTGTGATCTGTTAACCATATTTGCTTATGACTCCTGAATAAACATTATTTTAAAACAGGGTTCTTCAGCAGGGGTCCGCCAAATATTATTGTTTGATGAAACATAAATTTGCATTAAACCAAAGTACAATATTATATTAACCTCAGCAAAAAGCTTAAAGTTCAGCTAAATGTTTCATTGTACCTCCTGCAACGCATTTGGTCAAATTTAAATATCATGTAGTTTATGACTCTAAACATCAATAAGGGTTATTTTAATGCCTTTGCAATGCAGCACCATAAGGTACTGCATATATTATTAATATGGAAATTATTGCATGTTATTATAAGCCAGGCTTAAAATGCTATACTCAGATTTATACAACATGTTCTGCTCCGTCTCTCTGCTCACCAAGGGGTCCCCCAGTTTTAAATTGTTACTCCTGAAATATCACAACCTTTTATAATAAGACCAGCATTCAGTTTATCATAATGAAAGGAGCAGCTCCAGTTACACAGTGATGTTTTGTACCAAACTTTCAGGAAGACTTGAGTTGTGGCTCCAGGTTCTCAGGCACCAGGCAATATAATTAATCGAGCTGACATCATCACATTCTGGGATGTGTTGCTTCCCAGATGGCGAGAACTCAGCACTGCCTGGAAGTGCAGTAGTATTGCGTTCACAGAGTTAGGATTTCACATGATACAGAGTGAAAGAAACCAGAAGCAGCGCACACACTATTTTAGCTCTAGAATGTGACTCGGGGAAACTTTTTTTTTTCTCTCTTAATATGTTTCCCCTAGTAATGAGGTTCTCAAATTTGGAGGCGCTGACAGAATATGAAAATATTATGTGAAAGGTGAACTCAGTGTTACGATCCACAAAATGCAGAAATGTACCATTGAGTGAGTGACTATAATTTCTGAAACTGTCTGTTTGCGGAAACATTGGCGTCAATCGTTTCTTTCAAAAAGTTAGGAAAAAGTACATTTTTGAGGAAACCCTGCAGCTCATAAAAACTTAATTTGTAAGCTAAGTAGAATTTGCATAATTGTAATATAGAAAAAAATATATAATTTTGTGGCTGAAGTTCTTATTATTGATTTTTTCTGTACATTTCTGCTATTTTTTTTTAATAATGATCTTTTCCAAATCCATTTTAGTACAACATCCATAGATACAAGTTCTCAGTTCAATGAGGATATAATCGGTTAGTTATTTACCTGACTGATTCACTCCGATTCATGAACAAATCACTCAGACAGGTGTTGTGAACAGGTTTAAACAGTTCATTGGAGAAAAAAAAAGACTTTTATTCTCAAATTAGACCCAGTGTATCAATGATATACTATTTTACTTTAATATTTTGAATTATTTTTATTTTTAGAGTTTCCATTTTCATTATAATTTTAGTTGAAGTTTATGTAATTTTGTTTTAAGCGTGCATTGAGCATAAATCATTTTTATTAGTTTTTATTATTATTAGTAGTAGTAGTAGTAGTAGTATTTCAGTTTTAGTTATTTTAGTGAAATGAGATGTCGTAAGAGCAGAGTTGATACTTTTTTTTACGACTAAACATCCAAATCCAGTCATTTCAACAGGGATCTGCATGATTGAAAATTTCTTGTGAGGGCAAACTATTTCCTCATTCTGGGGGTATTAACGTGACATAGTTTTCAACTAAAAGCTGAAAAAATTTTATGCGTTTTGGCCATTAATTTACACAACAACAGCGTTTTGGGAGCCTTAAAAACCCAAACCTTTGAAAACGTGTTTCAAGTACAAGTTTTTGAAAAGGATGTGTAAACTACAGAACGTCTCGGTTACGTATGGTATCCCTCGTTCCCTGAAGGAGGGAACGGAGACATCACATCGGTGACTGACGAATTGGGACATCGCTTCGATAGACCAATCCACTTCGAGTGTAAACCAAACGAGCCAATGCACATTGGCATGCAATTATTGCATCCAGCTGCCGCTGATCACAGCGTGAGTATAATAAGGCAGCAGGTGCAATGCATACCAGGTTTTCGCTGAGGAGCCGAGCCGGCGACCCGGCTGCTCAGCGGTGGTACAGCAACCGTGGCGACGGGACGTGACGTCTCCGTTCCCTCCTTCAGGGAACGAGGGTTACCATACGTAACAGAGACGTTCCCTTTCAGTCGGTCGCTCAGAGTCACGTCGGTGACCGACGAATTGGGATCTCGCTTCGATAGACCAATCCACTTCGAGTGTAAACTAAACGAGCCAATGCACATTGGCATGCAATTATTGCATCCAGCTGCCGCTGATCACAGCGTGAGCATAAAAAGGCAGCCGGTGCAACGCATACCAGGTT